AGTACTTTTGGAATGGCTCACTTTCTAGGATCATGTCTCATCTCTTGGGGCACAAGGAAGTAGAAATCAGTGGCTCTTTCAATAGCTAAAACAAAATATGTATCTGCAGCCTCTTGTTGTGCTCAGATCCTATGGATTAAGCAGCAACTAGAGGACTTTGGGGTATTTACTGATTGTGTGCCTCTTCTATGTGATAACACCAGTGCACTCAACATGGCCAAGAATCCAGTTTAACATAAAAGAACCAAGCACATTGATGTGAGACATCATTTTCTGAGGGACAATATGGAGAAAGGGCTGATCTGTATGAAGTTCTACAGTACAAAGGACCAAATTACAGATATCTTCACCAAAGCATTGAGTAGGGAACATTTTGAAAGAAACATGGTGAAACTGGGGTTATTGAAGCCTAGTTGAGAACCTGATTCTGTATTAGTTGGCTATGAAAATCACCTTTAGGTAAAATTAGTTAAAGTGTTTTCTGACCAAGTCTAACTCACTTCAATATCGTTGCAGGTAAACACACATGATGATTATAGAAGCTGTAGATGCATTGCATAGGTGATAAAAGAGGATTGAAATTTTCAATGACAGGTCAAGAACCTGGTTCTTGTACCAAAGGTTAGTAGTTCTGTGTATTTTTTAATACATGTCTTGAAAAGGTACAAATGTCAACTGCCATGTCATCCACCTTTCAGACTCTGCTGTCATGTCTTTTCATTTCAAATCGTTCCATCTCCCTCTGAAACGTTGCAACTCTCCAAGCACAATCGCCGTTTCAGAACTGGTTCCTATCTCTCTCTTCATAATTATCCTCTCTCATTAAAAACCCTCTCCTTTCTTCATAGACCATAGTCCTCCATTAGAACTTCTCTAAAGAATTTTCTCTCTATCTCTTCAATGGCTGACTCAAACTTTGAAATTCCTACCTCAATCGTCACTAACACTGAAAAACCCATTGAGTCCTCCGTCCCCGATGAGTCTTCTATAACTATCCCTATCCTCATCACTGAAATCACCCCTAACTGAGATTTTTCGTCACCCTCCTGTTCTAAGGGGACTATCTCAGAAACCCCTAAAGTCGTTGATCCTCCTTCTTTATTTTCTAAGATTCCTATTGATCAAGGGAAAAGGGAAGAAAAGGGTAAAAGTCCTAAAGTCACAAAGGTTTCTGCCATTGTTGCTTCAGATTCTGTGGTGGCCATGGAGCCTATTGAGGATGAAAATTTAGCGACCATCTTTGTGGTATCTGCTGATAGAGTCTTACATAATATAATTTCTGGTGCACCTATGTCTCAAAAGAACGAGACACAGGGATTGGTGGGAGAAGTATCCATGGTAGTTGTTGAAGGCTCTGTACTAGCAGAAACTATTGGCCCTCTCGTGAGGAACCTGACCCCTCTCCGGAGGAAACAGGTCAGGGTTCTCACTCCCAGGCTAGTTCTGCTCCTGCATCTCCTCCTCCATTTGCTATTGAGCCCTTGGACATTCTAGTCCCTGAGATGAGGTCTAGTGATGAGGAGGATCAAGACAACATTCCTTTTGATGCATTCATAGTCAAGCGAAGGGTAGTGTCCACTCCTGAGTCTTCTACTAAGCGACCTACTATTAGGTTGCAAGCAAAGGTAGCTTATGACTCTGCCCTTCAAAAGAGCAGAAAGAGCAGTAAGAAGAAAAAGAGAAAACTGGTGAAACACAATGAAATAGTGTGTGGTAAGGATGTCCTTGTGGTGGAAGTTGAGGAGGAAACAACTGAGGAACCTAGTTCCTTAGTGAGAAGGTCCCAGAAGAAGAAGCAATCTGCTTCAGTGGAGAATGTTACAACCCCCAGTTCTAAAGTGAAAGATGTTGTGAGTGAACCCTCAAATTCTGATGAGGATGTGTTGGTCAAGTTTAAGGGAAAAGCAAAATCAAGTGGTGTGAAGTTTGGCAAGAGAAGGCTAGAACTTGTTAAGGAACCTGTTTCTGCGCAAAGGTTGAGAAGTGAAAGCAGTTCTGCTTCAGAACGATTAAGGCACCAAAAAGTTCTGTTGGGTCGCACTTTTGACCCATCAATTTCTGATATGGCTGGTATGATACAAGTCCTTGCAATGGTTGAGTTTCAATGGTGGGGGCATCTGTTCCAAATAGATGCACCCAACGTGTATGATGATGAGGTTCAAAGCATTTATACAAGCCTATTTCCTGTTGATATTGATCATATTTGTGCCTTGGTGAATGAGGTGGACATTGTGTTTGATGTGAGTATGCTTGGAGATATTCTTAAATTCCCTACGGTTGGTGTGTCTAGTATGAAAGATGCATGTGGGTCTAACTTCCGGAATGCTGTAGTAAAGGATAATGCGAACCAAAAGGGGGACCAAGTTCACAAGAAGGCATTACTCCCTATTTATCAGTTGCTCTTCGAGTTGGTGAACAAAGTTCTGTTACCCCGAGCTGAGAGGAGGTCCATGACTTCCAAATCTAACTTGTTTCTAATGGAGCAACTGGATGGATTTAACCCTATGAACTTGCCTGCTATCATGATCGAACATATGCAGAAAGTAGCAACCTTCAAGGATGGCAATCATGGTGTTCCATATGGGTTTCTGCTTACGCAAGTGTTTAAGTTTTTCAAGGTGCCACTGGAGCAAGGTAAGGTAGGAACCAAAAAACAGACCTTCTCTCAAACAACTTTGGAAGAATGTGAGTGCATCGAGAAGAATGAGGGGTTAGGCATTACATCAACAATCTCACAGCTCATTAATGCTCAAAATAGCACAACTGAGGAGATTTGAAGGTTGAAGGCTAGGAATGCTATCCTGGAAATTCAGTAGGCCCAAGGGGCCCCGAAGTCAAATGAGGAATTTGTCCGTTTGACAAAAGAAAATGCTAATCTCAGGGCATAAGTGGAGAACTTGAAAGCAGAACTCCTCAATGAGCAAAAGTCGGTCAATGCCTGAATAGACCTATTTCTCCAAACTCTTGCTGGAGCTTCCAAGCCCTCTGCTCCTAGTGCACCTAAGCAACCCTTTCAGTGACCAGTTTTTGGATTGTCTATTTTTGTTTTTATGACTTGGCAAATGTTTTTGTTTCTTTTGTTTTGATGTGCTTGGGATGTATCAGTACTGCTCCTATTTTCAACAGTCCAATTATGCCTTTGCTTTTTAAGCAAAGGCATATGTTTTATATATATAAACTATCCTCTTTTGTTATCTCAATGCTTGTATTCTCTATTTCTCTTCTCTATCATGTTGCGTGCACATATGTGGCATAAGTTAGCTAGGTTAAACTTCTTTATGTTGTTTGTCTGCTTGTGTATTTTTAATGATGCCAAAATGGGGAAGTATAATTGAAGCATGGATCTGATTAAGGGGGACACATAAAGTCAGGGGGAACTTGTGAAGTTCCTGTTATTTCATTTGGTTATTTTTGCTCTAAATACATGTTATCAATGTCTAAGTTTGTCATCATCAAAATAGGGGAACTTGATGAGTTTTCAATGTCTTTGCCTTATATTTTGATGATCTAACAAACTTATTGTCAAGAACTAGATAGGGAACCTGACATACTTGGTACACATTGCTAATGAACGGATTCCAGCCAGGACTCCAGCTAATGTTGAACTGCTGCAAGTGTAGAAAATAGAGAAATAAGACAAAGACCTGATCCCTTGTGTTTCCCTGACAGCAGTACGCAAGTCAACTGTGCACAGCTGAAAAGTGACTGCCACAAAAATAGTGCACACAGTGTAGCAGTTTTGCAGTCACTTGTCCTTTGACCAACCAAGTGCTTATATCATTCAAGTGATGTCATCAAAGGTGTATTAACAAGAGCATTATAACAAACACATCATTTGAACACTTATTCACTTCAAGCATTCAAGCCTTCTGCGACAGTGAACTTAATTCTGAAGAGCCTGAAGAACAAAGTTAAACGCTACTACGGACCAGTTCCTAAATCCAGTATTTTGTTGTCCTTAGTTGAGTTGTAACTTTGTAATTGTTCTTATTATAATTCCTAAATTGCTTAGCTAGAAGCGTTACTTAGGAACTCCTTTGTAAAACCATAAACCTTTTGTGTTTGTGTCGTAACTAGTCATGAGTTGAAGTCTTTGTACTAGGTGTATTGCAAAATGGCTTGTAATAGGTGTATTACGAGTTAGTGAGGAATTAAGAGTTTGATTCCTAGATTGCATAGGTTGTAATCTAAAAGTTGCTCATAGTGAAGTTGAAATCCTACCAGTGTAGGTCGTAGGTTTTTATCCCTTGAGCAGAGATTTTTCCACGTAAAACTCCCTGTCTTATTTACTTACTGTTTTATTAGTATTCCCAGTGGAAACTCATAGAGGACCTGGTACTCTATGGTTTGATGGACTCATATAAACTATCAGTTTTTTATAATAATAATAAAAGGCTTATCTTTTTATACTTTTGATGAATTCAAAATTATAATTTAGTTAAAAAATGATATTATTTAAATTTTCAGTAAATATAAAATGAGATAACTAATCAAATATTATAGTAGAAATAAATGTACGAAAAGAGGTGGATAAACATAATTTTATAATATTTATATTTTGAATTAATTACTAAATAAAATATAAATAAATAATACTCAAAAAATTTATTAATAAATTTAGACAATTGAAGAATTATAAATAGTATAACATAAGTATAAAAATATATATTTTTAGAATAAAAAATATATACATATGTTCTAATAGAAGAGAAGTAATATCAAAATATTAAACCAATTGACAAATTAATAAAAAATCACATTAATAAATGTATAGTACTAAGTACTTACTAGTTGAATAAAGAATAAAAAAGGAATTTGATTACTATCATGCTTTGTATCCTTTGATAAGTGTATCAAAATATATTAGATCATAATTTTATAATATTAATATTACTTTAAATTATTTGTGCATCGCGCACTAGTTAAGAAGAAAAAAAGAATTGACCAAAAAAAAGAAAAAAGAAGAAAAAAAGAAGGAAAAAAAAGCGAAGAGCATTCTAGAAGAACTTCCATTTCTAGAATTGCACACCTATTCTAAACCAACACAATCGCAACTTCCAGCGTTGTATTCGAACAATTTCTGCGATTATCCAAGCGATTTTCACAGTTCCAAACGCACCACAAAACTTCTAATAATGGCCTCCGCGAGCAAATCATTGATCCAAACACTAAAACGCTACCTAAAGAAACCATGGGAGATCACAGGACCACAATCAAGTCCGGAATATAAATCCGCCGTACCATTAGCTACGGAGTACAGAATTTTCTCCCCTGCCACCGCACAAGCTAAGGCAATCGTCCCTACGTCAAATCCCGAAACCGTTTATGATATCAAGTACTTTTCTCGTGATCAGCGGCGTAATCGTCCTCCTATAAAGCGCACTGTTCTAAAAAAAGCTGACGTGGAGAAGATGATGAAGGAGAAGACCTTTGATGTTAATGATTTCCCGAAGCCGTATTTGACTGCTAAGGTTGAGGAAGATTATAATGCTATTGGTGGTGGTTACCAGAAATGAAGGTATAAGGTATCCTTTTTTTCTTTTCTTTTTCAGTCTCAATTTTGTTTAGCTAAAAAAGTCCATATTTGATTTATCAGTTTTGAGGCTTCTATCTGTTTTTCCTGTTAGGTAAAATATTTTTCGTGAAAGTAACTTTGCTGGAAAAAATCAGTGTTTGGCTGGATCGAGCTTGTAATTTGTGGGTTCACATGAATACAGTAGCTTCTGCCAGGCCCTGTATATGTATTAAGAATCCACTATATATTCATAAATATTTGATTCTGAATCCAGTTACTATTGTAAATTAACTTGATGTGGTTGCATGCACACATAAACTTCAAAACTTCAAATCCTGGATCCTCATCTATTTATATTGGTAATCCTACAAACTGTAGAATAAAGCATAAGAATAATGTTTTGGTGACATTTCTAATATTAAAGATGGATAGCGATGCATAGGCAGTGATTGAAGCAAGTAATATGAAATAAGAATTGGGATAGTTGTAAAGGAAAATAACTTTTGCTGAAAATTCTTGGGAAAAAAAGATTGTTGCCGTTCCAAACGTGCAATAGGATGACTATGCATTGATGTTTAGTCCATATATATATTTCGTGAAGTTAGAACTTCTTGTTAGAGCGACTATTAATAATATTAAGGAGTGGAGACAGATACCTGATATTGGTTGGTATTCTGATAGGTCAAAATACCTAGGTTCTAGTTACATCCTTCACTGAAGGATGAAGTGAGATTTCGCCAATTTAAGGAATCTGTTTTGATTTAGCAGTGAAAAATGGAAGTTTGTTGACCAATAGAGATAGCAAAAGTTACCCCGAATCTTCGATATATTACATTGCTTTCAGGGGTTATCTTTATTTCATCATCCTTTCATGTTGAAATCCACGACTAGGTCCCCACTCCGACCCTCCAGCCTACCTAAGATATCTGGCTCATCAAACCAAATGTAGGTATTAATGGTGTGCAGGTCGTATGATTTGGCTAGTGAGGTTGGGACAACTTGGAATTTTTCTTGTTATCCTAAGGTAGTTTTGCAGTCAAACTCTACCATTGGGATGAATAGTGCAAGCTTAAATCGCACCCTAGATATATCGTGCTTCATGGGTTTCACTCTTTCACATTACTATTTTGATTAACTGTAGGTGGCGGGTTGGCAAAGACTCCGTAACTGGTGATTATTCATTACCAGTTCTAGACCTATCACAAATCTCTGCTGGGTTTTCACTGGCTGTATGCTCCAAGTCTGAGGTATGATAAGATTGTGTCTGAAATTCTAGCAGTGAGAGAACTTTGGGAATTCCCATGGTTCACAAGGGAAGTTTTTAGTTGACCAAATTTTCAAAGGAAAGAAGAATAACGCTAGAATTTCCAAGTTTGCAAACAATACAAGAAAGGTCATTTAAGATCTATCTTATATGACGAAAAACTCCAATAAAATGAGTTAAGGGTTGGTAGCATATAGAATTGATGGATTCCTGTTCTCTACTGAATGGTTATGAGACGATGCTTTTAGAATTATCAAGCAATCCATCATGCATAAAAAAAATTTGATTCAAAACCAGAGAAAACCGTCTTGTTTAAAATTTCTGCAGTGCGGAAAGAGGGAAATTAAGGCCAGTTACTTTAACTTTGGAAACATGTAGTTGAAGTAGATGTCTTCACAAACATGGTAAGAAGCAGGAGCCATGTTTTTGAAGTGAAAGGAAAACCAAGTCTCATATGGCTCAAAAGGTAAAAACTCCAGAAGAAGAGATTAAGAGAATTGAATTTGAATATTTTTTGCAGCGTGGAGCAAGCTTAACAGTATGTAGAAAAATAAAAGTTTCAACCAGATCTTAAAGAGTCCTAGCAGATGAAGGGCTTCCACAGAAAAAATAATTGCTCAAAGAATTTCTAGAAAGTTACTAGAGCAGAAGCAATTTCATGTGGAACTTTATTTTCCTATGTAGCAAAATAGGTGGCGACAACACAATTTTTCAAAAGATGACAAATGCTAACAGAAATGCAGTAACATCGACTAGCTAAAACAGAAGTAAGGAAGGATCTAGAAGAAATTGAAAAAGGTCATATTGATTTGTTCCAAAACCTGTACTGGAGACTCTGAGGCCCTCTTTTAAGTATGAGAATCTGCATATCCTTATTGAGGAAGAAAGGTATATGCTGCAAATAGTGGGGAGGAGGTAGCTAAAATTGTTAAGGGCTGTGAAGGACAGTGTTATAAATAGCGCTCGCCTAGCGCTAATAGCGTGAGGCGATGCGATGCGAGGCAGTGTCGCTACAGACCCTCTGTTGCGTTGCGTTTCAAAATAGCGCTCGCCTTTGCCTGTGTGGCGAGAGGCGACAGTGTCGCGAGAAGCGAGTTTTGCGTTGCTTTTTAAAAAAAAAAAGAAAAAGGGCAAAGATTAAACAAAAAGGGTTGCGATTAGGGCTTGACAACAGAGCTTCTTCAACTTCGAACAAAACAACAGAGCTTCATCTGAACTCGCGATTAGCCGATTAGGGCTTGCATTTACTGTGCCATCGTCTTCTTCATCTGAAAGCTTGAGGTTTCTGCCAAGTGCCATCTTCTTCTTCATCAAGTTTCTGCCATTGAAAGACCAGGTATGCTTCTCTGAGTATCCTTTCTTTCTTATTCTTCTTCTTCTTTCTTCTTTCTTCTTTCTCCTTCTTCTTCTCTTCTTCTTTCTATTTTTTGTCCTCTGTTTTTTGTCGAAAAGAACAGAAACAGAGGTCTGTTTTTGTGCTCTATTTTTCGAGCAAAATACAGAGGCTCCTTCCTTCCTCTTTCTTCTTCTCTTAATTTTTTTTGGCTCTGTTTTGGCAAAATAACAGAGGCTGTTTCGAGGCCCTGTTATGGCAAAATAACAGAGGCTGCTGCTTCTCTTAACAAACACTCTGTTTTTTCCAGGCCCTGTTTTGTTTGCCTTTTTTTCAACTATTGACTTATAGTCTACTATGAGTCTATGACTATCTATTGAGTCTTTAATTTTTGAATGATAAATTTATTAATATATTATTGTTATTGAATTTTTAGTTATATGTATATAATATTTTATGTTTTTGTATAAATTGTCGCTTCACATCAAAAAGGCGAGCGCTTCGCTGCGCGCCTCAGTGAAGCGGGCCCTCATTGCTATTTGTCGCCGCACGCTATCCAAAACACTGGTGAAGGAGTTAATTAAGGTGACTTCATGGTGTCATCATAGCCATCTTTCAAGAATGTTGACAAATGATTACAGGATGCGCTTTATGCGCTCAGTCAATTTCATTTGTGCTCTGTTTGAGACCTTTAAAGGAGTTTCAACTTGCTTTATTGCTTTGACACCAAAAAAAGTGGTATAGAACAATCAAGAGACTTCAGACCTACTAACCCTGAGAGCAGTATATAGTTTTCGATAAGTTGAGAGAAGCATATATAAAATCATTCGAAAGCGCTAATTACGGACCGAAGAGTGTTATTAGCAAATTGGTGTTTGACACCTGGATGGCTTTTTGTTAAAGGGAGCCAAATCAGTGATGCTGTTTCAGTTGTCAACAAATGCTTGGAAAGGATGGAACATGGCAAAGTTGGCTCCTCCTTAAACTGGATTTTGAAAAAGCTTTTATCCAAGTAAGTATTTTCTTCTGGAAGACATAAGTTTTGGCATTACCACATTTAAATTCTCAATTTTTAATAATTGACCCAATTATATTCTTCCGTCGCTTAAGGGAATGGAGGCTAGGGGAACTTTTGTCACACTTCCTATATATTTTGGTGATCGAGGACCTCAGCAAGATGCTGAATTTACTTTTGGGAGGAGATAAGCCAATGGTTTAAGAGTTTGGGCATAGATAGTGATCAAGACAGCTTTTCAATCATTCTTTTATTGCTGACAGCACATCGCTTGACTGATGATTCTCATACTCATTAAGTTGTTTTCCGAGGCTGTGTTTGTGTTGCATATTAATTTATCAAAATTTTCTTATAGCTGGTCATTGAAGTTCAGAACGTACAATCATCAGCAAGGATTCTTGGTCGTAGAATTGGTGAATCTTCTACTGCATCTGTAGGCTTGCTTCTGGGGGTTAGACATAAATGATAAATGCATCTCCTCTTGGAATGGTGTAATAGAGAAGTTTGAGGAAAGAATTTTCTCTATAAAAAAAGACAATATTTGTATATGGGAGGCACACTAGCCTTTAGTAACATTATACTTGATAGCATACCTACCTTTCTAATGTTTCTTTTTTAAATACCAGCTGCAGTTGAGAATAAGCTGGATGAAATTAGGATGTACTTTCTATGTGAAGGTAAGGGAGAAGAACTTTCATTTGGTGAAGTGGGAGGAGGTTATCAAAGGATAGAAAGGAGGAGTTCCTGGGTAAGAGACTTGAAATACGTTGCAGAAGCCTGGTTTATATATGGTTGCGAAGATATATCCTATAGATCAAACGGAGTTTTAGAAGACTTTGATTCATGTCAAAGTCGTATGTCTTCAGGAAATTATGTATGAATTCTCTGCCAGGATATGCTTTAAAGTGGGAAATGGCAGGATATTAAAATTATGTTGTGATTTTGGTTGGTCATATTCCCCTTAAAGAGGAGTTCCTTTATTTATTTAACTTGCCATTACGACTGATGTTTTAATATCATTCTTTTTAATTATGGACTGATGTCGCTATATCATTCATGCCAAAAAGAGAAAAAGGGCTGTTGTCACTATATCACAATGCAAAATGTATGTGTATGGGAGCTAATATTTAGAAGAAACTGTCAAAATTTGAATATTGACAGTTTGGTCTCTCCACTAAGGAGCTAAAGGTGGTTAAAGATCTGCTATCTTAACCGAGTCCTTGAGATTTGGTGAAAAAAGGGCTTGTCTCTTCCTGTCGGATCTATACACATTACGCACAAATGCAAGTTCTAGCAATGACTGGACCTGAAGATAATTTGGAGAAACAATGCACCTCTTAAGGCAGCTTGCTTCAGTTGGAACGCATTACATTATGCATGCTGTAATTTAGAAAAAGAACATGCTTTTCTATCTATTCGTTAAATTTTATGTTTTGCAACAGATGCTGTATGTGTGCTAGGAAAGATGGAATGCACAACCCAACTAAACTCATGCCAGCTAAACGGTGGGAATGGAGGTAATTATGAGAAAATGGATTGTAATAGTGTGTGATTAGAACTATTGATTTTTCTGTGTTGTTTTTATGCCTAGACTACGAGGAAGCCTATGGATGCTACAATTGCAGAAGTTGCACACCAAAAAAATTCTACTTGTTCGAGTATGCAAATAAATTGTGATCCTCTCTAGTGGGCATTCCTTTAGGGTATAGAAATGTAATAATGGACAGCCCTAATTATAGTCATGAATTCGAGGAGGCTTCCTGGGGTGATTTAGGTCTAGCTAGGAACACGTGGATCCAGGGAACTTTGCTCGGTCACTTAATTCATACTGTTACATTAAGACATGAACAACTACCCAGTAAAATCCCACATAGTGGGGTCTGGGGAGGGTAATGTGTACGCAGACCTTACCCTTGCCCCGATAAAGGCCGAGAGGCTGTTTCCGATAGACCCTCGGCTCAGAAAGACGAAAATAAAGTAAAAAAAAAAACAAGAGGAGAGAATTCATTAGTAACTCCAATAGAAACCGTAATAGTAACATACACATAAAAACCGAAAGATGAATGACATGCAATAACAATAACCATAATCTAAGGCCCGGGGCTAAGACAAACAACAAAAATAGTGTGGGTCCAACATAAACTGCAAACCATCTAAGACCAACCCTAATCCAACCTCGCCTCACCCCTGGAATGAAGTAAGGAAAGCTTTACTACCCCTATCCTACAACCCTAATGCTTGACCTTCAGGCCTTCCTATCAAGGGTCATGTCCTCGGAACTGTGCAGTCGTGCCATGTCCTGCCTGATCACCTCTCCCCAATACTTCTTAGGTCTCCCTCTACCTCTTCCCGTACCCACCACGGCCAACCGCTCACACCTCCTCACCGGTGCATCGAGGCTTCTCCTCTGCACGTGCCCGAACCATCTAAGCCTCGCTTCCCGCATCTTGTCATCCACAGGGGCGACGCCCACCTTCTTCCGAATATCTTCATTCCTAATCTTGTCTATCCTAGTGTGCCCGCACATCCACCTCAGCATCCGCATCTCTGCTGCTTTTATCCTCTGGATATGGGAGTTCTTAACCGGCCAACACTCTGCCCCATACAACATGGCCGGTCTAACTACAGCTCTATAATACTTACCTTTGAGTATCGGTGGCACTTTCTTGTCACACAAGACTCCAGATGCAAGCCTCCATTTCATCCAGCCTGCCCCTATGCGGTGAGTGACGTCCTCGTCGATCTCTCCGTCCCCCTGAATCATCGATCCAAGGTACTTGAAGCTATCTCTCTTGGGGATGACCTGTGGCCCAAGCCTCACGTCCCCGCCTACATTCTTCGACTCAGCGCTAAACTTGCATTCCAGGTACTTGTCTTAGACCTGCTCAATTTGAAACCCTTAGACTCGAGAGTCTGTCTCCAAACCTCCAATCTCTCATTAACACCGGCCCTCGTCTCGTCAATTAGAACTATGTTGCCAGCAAATAACATACACCATGGTACCTCCCCTGAATATGGTGTGTCAAAGCATCCATCACCAAGGCAAATAAGAACGGGCTAAGCGCTGAGCCTTGGTGTAATCCCATAACAACCGGGAAATGCTCCAAGTCGCCTCCCACCGTCCTAACCTTAGTCTTAGCTCCATCATACATGTCCTTGATCGCTCGTATGTAGGTTATCGGCATGCCCTTCGCCTCAAGACATCTCCAGAGCACCTCCCTAGGAACCTTATCATACGTTTTCTCCAAGTCAATAAACACCATGTGCAAATCCTTGTTCTTATCCCTGTACTGTTCCACCAACCTCCTAATAAGGTGGATAGCTTCCGTAGTGGAGCGGCCCGGCATGAACCCAAAGTGATTGTCGGATATAAACGCCGTCTTCCTCACCCTCACCTCCACCACCCTCTCCCAGACTTTCATGGTATGGCTAAGTAACTTGATACCCCTATAATTGTTACAACACTGGATATCACCTTTGTTCTTGTACAACGGTACCACTATACTTGACCTCCATTCCTCCGGCATCCTCTTCATCCTAAAAATTACATTGAACAACCCAGTCAGCCATTCCAATCCTGCTCTACCCACACACTTCCAAAACTCAACTGAAATTTCATCTGGCCCGGTCGCTCTACCCCTACTCATCTTACGCAACGCCCCCACGACCTCCTCCACCTTAATGCGCCTGCAATACCTAAAATCTCGGGGACTCTTCGAATGCCCCAAGTCCCCTAGTGCTATATATCCCGGTCCCCCTCCTCATTCAGAAGACCGTAAAAGTACGTCTGCCATCTCTGCTTAATCTGGGACTCTCCCATCAATACTTTACCATCCTTGTCTTTGATGAACCTTACTTGGTCCAGATCCCGGGCCTTCCTCTTTCTCGCTTTAGCCAGCCGAAACAACTTCCTTTCCTCGCCTTTCTCCCCTAATTCCTCGTATAGACGGCTAAACGCTGCATTCTAAGCCTCCGTGACCGCCAACTTTGCCTTCTTCCTAGCCACTTTGTACCTCTCTCTATTCGCACTCCTCTCCTCCTCGCTTGTGCTCCCTGCTAACTTCGCGTATGCTACCTTCTTCGCCTCCACTTTACCTTGGACTGTGTCATTCCACCACCAGTCTCCTTGGTGCCTGCCAAAAAAACCCTTCGATACACCTAGCACCTCTCTCGCCGCCTCCCTCACATAGTTCGCCGTCGTCGACCACATAGTGCTCGCGTCTCCACTACTCCTCCAAGCTCCCATAGC